ATGTATATAAATCCCATTCATTTTTTCAGCAACAGGGCGAGGGTTTGCAATATCAAATTATCTTATTGTTAATTTTGTATCATCAGGTTAAATGGGTTGACACTGTATACCGTACCAAGAAAGTATAATACATACTCCAAGTATTGAAATACACGCCATCGTGTTGGGATTCAATATTTCGACATTAATTATGTCATCATCAGGAATGATTTAAATTTGATTTTTTATGGGGCAAGTTTCCAAGGGCGGGTTTTCTAGAAGCGACTGCCAAAGAGTGTTGTCAAAGTGCGAGCCAGCGTGTTATTTGATCACAAGTGCGAGACATATCACAAGTGTGAGCCAGCGAGCCATGACATCACGACAATAGATAGAGACGTTAGCCAGTTGTGCTAGGTATCGGCTGAGATTTGTGGAGTACAATTCAAAAAACAACTATAGGTCTAATAATGAATTATTGTGATGTTAAATAGACAATGTTAGCTATCAAAGAGCGACGTTGTTTTTCATTGGGACCTTCGTCCCTTCAAGGCTAGGCCTATACCATCCTAGCTAGTCTAGGCCTAGAGTAGGATAAGGCTAGCGCGACATGTGGACGTTGGTACGAGTAGGTTAGTCTACAAACGTCGCCTAAAGTAATTGATTTTACCCGGCAGAACGAAAGAAGGGAACTCCGCTTTTCAGTCGTTTAAGGCAGTCGTTTTTTGACAAACAATGACCTTTCAGAGGTCAAATTGCTGTCAAGAATATGAATTGGCTGCTTCGCAGCAAATATATAAAAATTAGATATGGTCTTATTTTGTACATGTTTTGCTGGGCGTCTTTCCAAAGACGGACTTTTTCGAGATTAGACCTACTATATACTAATATATAAACTAAAAGTCGAGCTTCTAGAATGTGGTAAATATTTCGAATCGCTATCAGAAAAATTGCTACTTAAGATTGCTACATGGAAAACGAGAGCATATATTTTACAATTATAACGATCATCAAAATATACCGACGACAATCTAAACTGCTTGACAACCAAAAATTAGCAATTTTCCTGTTTTTAGAATCATAATGCTGATTTTGTTTTGTGCCTATTGAGAAAATAAATTATGACTTTTACTGTAATGTAATCGTATTATGATTTTTGCCTTTTTTGGTTGTTTGTCTTATGATTGATGTTAGGGTTTTTTTTTTGTCTTTGTAAATTTATATGTATATATGTATATTTATGAAATGAATAATAATAATAAACTACAATAGTACAAATAATGTTTGGTAGATCTGATCTCCGGATAGGGTAAGTATTCGTTGAATGGTGCTGGTGTCGAAAATCTTGAATGTGGGTAAAATAATTGCTTCTTTGATGAAAAATGAGACAGTAGTACAGCTCAAGTTCAAGGTAACTGCAATGGAATGAGCGGCTCCGGAAGGGAAACTGGTAATACATAGTCGCAGTTAATTCCCTGCTGAGTCTACTTGCTAACGATGTTTACAAGAAGAAGATAAGAGATGAACTGTAAGCGAGGCACCATTTGCAAGATATGATATATAATTGAGATATACCTACAATGGCGTAGCCAGGATTTCAAACAGTGCGGGAGAATATCTGGATGGATCCACTTTACGCGTAAATTCAAATGATGTAGATTCATTGTCTTAAAAGTTGAACCATTTTAGGCTAAATATGAGAAATCTGGACTAATTTTGCATAAAACTGCATCATTTGGACCCATTTTTTAAAATGTGGACCCATTATTTGTGGACCCATTAGAAAAATTATGTGGGACTGTCCCAATAGCTGGCTACAGCATTGGATAACTATCGTTCACCAAGACATAAATACCAATGTCCCAGATGGCGCCCGGTATTGTGCACCATGGAGTAGTTAACTGACATAAAATCACACCTAAACTTAAAAAACCCAAGTATCGTTCCTTATCTATTTCGGATGACATTTATATCTGGTAACGGAATAATTTGTACCACATCAGTGGGTAGCACCTTAGTGGATCACTTTGAAACAATTAGACTTATTTAGCCTTAGTAACTGCAACATTCTGCTGATTAAGCATATGCATTATTTTCGCGTATTATGAGATCTTTTAAAATAATTTTAGCGAAAAAAAACCCCAAAAAAAATCAACGCATACAATTTAATCTCACCTTGGTTTGTTCTCAAATTCAACATCAGCCATCTTGAATCGCTGCAATCAACAGGAACTAACTGAAGTCAGGCTAACTGAAGTTTTGTAAAAAAAAAAATAGCTGCAGTGCGGGTGCAATTCTATAGGTGATGATTTGTTCAACTGCGACGCACCACGAATGCTGGTTTTTATGGAACGCCGTTAGTATCTTCGGTTATGTGCAAACACTCTATTATGTACAATCGCCATGACGTTATGCGGTTTGGTCATTATGTTATGTGGTTTGATCATGATGTTATGTGGTTTCTCATTATGTTTATGTGGTTTGGTCATGATGTTATGTAGTTTGGTCAGTCATGATGTTATATGGTTTCCTCATTATGTTATGTGGTTTGCAGATTAAGTTATGTAATTTCGACATGACGTTCGGACGTCCTTGCGAGTATGTGAAGAAGTGTGAATAAGAAGACGGCTGTACAAGTAAGCCTATATCAAGTTTCATTTGAAAATTTTGATTGGCCGAGAGCGAGCGGGAAGACCACACTAGTTTTATTACCACCGCGCCAGAGATTTATTTCATACAAGCAAAGAGTATAATATAACAGAAGAGAGTCCACTGCTATTCTTAATACACGCGAGTCAGCGTGACGCCCGATCCGTGGGGCAAACGCCCCTAGCGTCTGTTGTGGATGCATGAGTGATGGCAGCATATGTATAAAAAACAGTAATTAAGACCTGTATTTGGAAAAGAGTGCATAAAGTCTAATTATTTATCCGTTTTTAAACGAAATATAAAGGCAATACTTATAAGAATATTATTGGAAAATATGCTATATATTTTGTGGGTTTTTAGAAAGTTTCCTTTAAATCACGCTAGTATTTTGAATGTTGATAAAAGAAAAAGCCTGGGAGTTTATAAGAAAAATAATATTTAATAGACCTCCCTATACTAGAAGACGACTATTCATTATAAACATTCATCCATCCATGCATTGGTATTCGGCATATGTAATTCTTATTAAATGAGAACATATAGTTAATGATGTGTTTGCTTTGACTATGACTATGTTCTCCAGCCCTTCCTCAGTCTGGTAAGTAAATATAACGTTTTCTCTTCAGTCAAACAAATTAATATATAAAACAGTAATAAAAAAAAATCGGAACCACCAAAGTAACTTTCAAAATATTGTACTTTATTTTGTATTTTTCCACACGAACTTCAAATACTTTCACAAACAAATGAGAGTTAGGTAATGATGAGGAAAACATCCATCTTGATATACCTTGAAATCCTGGATTTAAATGATAAATGAGAAAACAAAATCATCCATCCAACTGTTAGTGACCCAGGCACTGTCTGTGATGAGGTACTACCACCACATAATAATCAGGGGCGGATCCAAGATTTGAAAGAGGGTGCTTCAAAATGAAAAATGAGCTTTTTTTTTTTAATGACCTTTAAGTTCTTCAAAATTCAAGGTTTTCTCTGGAAAAGATCATTAAGTAAGTAAGTAACTTTATCGCTTCTCTTAAATAACAGATGCACAACCGTATAAGATGCGCAACAATAACAAAATCAGTATAAACTCAATTACTTAGAAAGTACTTAATTTTATGTCATTCTTCAGGCCTCTATATAGAGAAAAAAGAAAAAGACATAGGTGAGTGGATTTCCTGCACGATTAAAAATCTTAACAATACCGGGTTTGGTCTACAGGAGTTCGTGCTTCGAAATTCAATTACTTAGAACGCACTTAATTTTATCTCATTCTTCATGCCTCTATATAGAGAAAAAAGAAAAAGACATAGTGAGTGGATTTCCTGCACGATTAAAAATCGTAACAGTACCGGGTTTGGTCTACAGGAGTTCGAACAGGTCATTCCATTCATAGAAAATGCCTTTTGATGGCGAAAATGTACCTTTTTAGCAAGGTTTCCTAGTTCGAAACTAACTCCGGCTGTATAAAATTGATTAGCCAATCAAAAGTTTCAAATGAAACTTGATATAGGCTTACTTGTACAGCCGTCTTCTTATTCACACTTCTTCACATACTCCGCAAGGACGTCCGAACGTAATGTCGAAACTACATAACATAATGAGCAAACCACATAACATAATGAGCAAACCACATAACATCTTGACCAAACTACATAACATCATGCGACCAACCACATAACATAATGAGAAACCACATAACATCATGACCAAACCACATAACATAATTACCAAACCACATAACATAATGACCAAACCACATAACATAATGACCAAACCACATAACATAATGACCAAACCACATAACTTTATGACCATTCCACATAACGTCATGGCGATTGCACATAATAGAGTGTTTGCACATAACCGAAGATACTAACGGCGTTCCATAGGTTTTAGCATTCGTGGTTATTAACCTTAGTAGTAACCTATCAATATTGAATTAGACCCAAAAGCAGTAAAGCATTTTTGTTTTGTTAAGTCGGTCAATTTTAATGCTTGAATGATTTTCGTAAAAGTACAAGTAATCTGTATATTCTAAGATCTAATTATAAAAGGAGAAGTATTTCATACCGCAGAGCTACTGAATGGAACAAACTAAATTCAAATGTACTTAATACTTCAAATACTTTAATTATTTTCAAAAAACTATATTCCTCAATGTGAAAAGGGGGGTTAGTTCGCACCCAACGAATCCCCCTGGCTACGGGCTTGTCTACAAAACCAAGACCGAAGACCCGAAAAACGAAGATCCACATATTTCCAAAACACCATATATGCACCTGTCTCTTATACACATCTAGATGTGTATAAGAGACAGATATAGGTCTAACTACAGTTGTAAGCTATAGCTAGTGACAGCTACTACCATGCTAATCACTATTTAATTATGTTTAATGCTTACCCAGTTTATAGCAGACAATATCACTAGTGGTCTATAAAACGAAGACCCCCATTTTTTCTCTTTTATTTTGATGATAATACACCAGGCTGTCACAAAATCATGGGTGTCTACAAAACAAAGACCAAAAGACCCGAAAAACGCAGACTCTCTCAATTATCTTATTGAAAGTATTTCAAAATCATCATAAACAGTTGCCAAGTACCTATTTCATTATTTCATCGGAATAAAATGAGGAATATCAAGAAATACCTAAGGGTCTTCGTATAGAAACCTTACTGTATGTGTGTCTACCAAGCCCGTAGCCAGGATTTTTATAGGGGGGGGGGGTTCTTTTTGATACTAAAAGGGCACTTGCAAGCGAAGCGAGCACCATTGGCTGGGGGCCAGGGTGCCGCCACGGGCCCCCGGTGGGGTCCATGGGAAAAAGGCGCGGTGGGGGTCCAGGGGACGAAGCCCCCGGAAGCTCCAGCATTCTAGACATTTACAGGTGTTATTTAATTGATTTGAGAGGCCATACATTTTTAACAAATGTATATATTAAAGAGGTAATTTTTTGAGTTAGGCAAAGATAAAAACACAAAAAAAACAAAATCTACTAGTTTAGTACTACAGTACTGGTAAATTAACAAGAGCCTAGAGTAGCATGATACAAACTCCAAAGAAGCCAGTAGGCCTATGGTTTATTCTTTATTTTTATTATTTTTAAGAAATAAGAAGTACTGTATGGCTTATAGCATGGAAGTTGTATCATACTGTACAGTACTCACTCAAGACAATCAGTAACATAAAAAGAACCGAAACAAATTTGTATGGCTGGCTGTAGTGTATTATTATTATTCTGAGTCAAGTTTTCGGGGCCTGAATGGTCATACTGCACAATAAAATATTGCATCCACAGTAATATAATATAATATAATGATTTACTAGTATGGTTTGTATGGTTGGTTGTAGTGTATTATTATTATATATATATATATATACAGGTGTGAAACTATCCCCCGCCGGACACCATCCCGGTATTTCTGAGTCAAGGTTTTGGTGCCTAAATGGTCATACCGCACAATAAAATTGCATCCATAGTAATATAATATATGGTGGCCGACGATCGTATCGGGAAGATCGGCGATACGCTCTGCTGCTGCTGCCCTGCCCTGTTCCTAGTTTGGGCGGTTAGCCCTACACGGTTGTACTGATTAAATAATAATGTTGTAACAGTTGAAAATGCCCTATTTTCATTTATGTTTTTATATTACTAGGTAGGCCTAACAATTGGGTATTAAAGTAGGACTTTTTTAAAATGATGATAGGCTCTAGGTTAGGCCCAAGGTGTAGGCTAACCAGACTTTGTTGAATGGGCACTTCATGAAAAGGGGGGTTAGTTCGCACCCAACGAATCCCCCTGGCTACGGGCTTGTCTACAAAACCAAGACCGAAGACCCGAAAAACGAAGATCCACATATTTCCAAAACACCATATATGCACCGGTGTAGTGTGGCATATACATTTACGTCAATATTTTGTTTAAACTGTGCTTTTGTATTGTTTGTGTGGATGTGAAATTTCTGAAATTTAAGATGAATAATATGAATACTTATTAAAGAAATTTAATGTAGTGAATTTTGCTCTAATTATTACTATTTCATAAAATTTCAGAAAAATAAATTTTGGATTTTTAACGAACGGAACGGATACATTTACCATCCAAAGAGCAGGTATGACGTCTTTATAAATTCGGGGTATAGACCTATATTTGTTTATAAATATAGGCCTATAATATTCAAAATTAAGTAGGTGCGTAGAACCGTAAACATAATATATACGGTACACTAATCCATAAATAAAAGATAATCTGAGATTACAAACCCTCGCCCTGCTGTCGCGCCATACATTTGAATCCGCTGGTTGTTGTATTATAGGGGTATAATATTACTATATGCATCAGGTGAAATGTGGCCGCGCGGTAAAGATGTAAGTTTTTTGTGTAACGGTAATCGAACGTAGGGTTCAAATTTCACTCTTGTTTGTTTCTTTGTCTGTGTGTGTTTTTTTTAATCATTATTTTGTTGCTTTTGTTAATTGTGCATATATATTAAACATTAAAAAAAATATGAAAGATAAGATGCACAAATAATAATAATAAAATAATAATAATAATAATAATAATAATAATAATAATAATAATAATAATAATAATAATAATAATAATAACAGTGAGATTTGAACCCCATACGTTCGATTATGTTATTATTTTCATTATTATTATTATTGGTATTTTTTAAATAAAGAT